AGGGGAAGCGGACGGCTTACTCGCTGCTGCCCCAAGGGCAGGACCCGAACGAAGGGGTGAGAAGGGCACGCGTGGAAGGAGGCTCACGCTGGACGTCAGGAGGAGCGTCCTGACTGCGTGCCACTGGCCAGCGGAACAGGTGGGCCCTCCTCCGCCAGCGGCTTCCAAACAGAAACTGGATGGTCCTCTGTCAGAGACACGCTGCAGGGGGTTGACTATGTAATCTCTAAGGTCTTTTTCAGCTGTAGGATTCTATACGTGCGGGTGCCGAGGGAACAGAGACGCACGAGGGAAATACCTGAGTTGTGGAGGTTTCCTGTCAGAAGAGATTTCCACCTGAGTTTCCAAATGAAACCCAGGGGAGCTCAGAACGTGCTGAAGCAGCTGCCCAGGGATGAAGAGGTATAACTTCAGTTAAGCATCCCCCCTCCTTCCTTCCTTCCCTCCACTCAGGAGGAGGAAGAAAGCACCAGGGTCTCCTTCCTTCTCCTCTCTATGGCCCCTCGAGGGACACCTGTCTCTCAGATGCGATGGAGCATCCCGAGAGAGGAGGCAGAGAAGCAGCATCGCACGGCTCAGATACTGGGCCTTTCCACCTTACTTTCCTGAGCAGCCATCCTCCCTGCTGCACTCCTGGTGCATCTTCCTTTTCCCCCAAATTCCTCTCTATTTCACCACAATCCCACACCTGCAGAAACTCTTCTTGGTGGCTTAGTTCGTGTCACCCCACTTTCCCACCACTCAGCCTCTTAGCCAAGACTTGCTCTCTGTGTCTCCAGTTGTATTCTTCAGGAACCTCTTGCTTGTGTCTCCCATCTTTTTTCCCAGACCAACCTTCCCGTACAGTTGTACTGCCCCTCCTTTTCCCCCAGTCAACCCGCCCAGGCATCTCGCTGCAGCAGAAGTGGTACCATTTTTCTAGTTCCACTTCCAGGCAGGGTATTTCAAGGCCTGCATTAATGGTGAATTTCACTGAAATTCCAGGTGTTTTGCTACGGTAAATTCAGTCTCCTTTTCAATTTGTTTTAATAATGAAAAAACAAATAGAAAATGTATCATCAATAAAATAAATATGTCATTTTCTCTTTGCTACTCTACCTTCCACTCTCTCTCTCTCTGGTTCCATACCACGTTTTTGAAAAGTTTAGCATCTTTTTATGAATATGTGTTAGAAGGATAATTCTGTTTTTTCCGGAGATATGATGAAAATATACTTTCACTCTAAGAAACAAGCTTTGCTTTGAAGGTAAGGGTTGTCTAGTCCCTCCTCCATCCTCTGCTTTTGGCCTGTGAATTTCCTCCACCCAAGAATTCAGTATACGGCCCATACATGTGGTGTACATATGTGGAACTGAAGGGGAAGCCCGACCAAGTCTAGTTTCTTCGTCTGTCTTGCATTTCTCAGAGAAGGTGCCTGCTCTGGAACCAAAGGACCGTGTGTAGTTGGAAAGAGGCCTCGGCAAAAAGAACCAAGAAGCTCCAGCCTGCCCTTAGTTATTTTCTGGCCCATCTATTTGGATTTTCAAGACCAGCAAAAATTTCCTCAACGAGATTCTTATGACATTCCCAGAATTATAATTGAATAGCAGGACGGGTGACATCCTTTCCATAAGCCACCCATGAATCTGAGATATAAGGGGTCTGGGTAGTACAAGATCAGACGAGCAAAGTGCTCAGGAAGCAGAGGCTGGGTGGACCTGAATGGGTGGAGGGTGATGGCCAAACTTCATCAGGAGAAAATCCATGGAGGTGTAGCCCACCAACTGTGTCACAGTCCTCTGTGACGTCAGCAGTGACATCATAGTCCAGCCAGGTTCAGGGAGAGGAAATGCTCAAGGGCAGCAGCAGAGGGGAGAAGAGGAAAATGAAGGAACCTGCCAGGTTGTGAGCAAGTGGAATAGAAGGGCAACATCTCGCTGGTATGTGTGCTCTGGCCTTGGCTGGTGCTGAGACGCAAGGGGGCAGGAGACCACTGGCCCCTTCCCACCTCCTCACAAGCACCACCACCACACTGGAAAGAGACTTCCTGCTTTCCTCCTCTTTCTCCCTGAACCTCTGCTCTTTTCACAAGGTCCTTCATCACCATCCAGATCATAACAGCCGCCTTTGAGCAACCATGTCTGAAAGCAAAAAAACCCCTGGGGCTGCTAACCACAGAACCCGGATCATCAAAGTGACTGTCAAGACCCTCAAACGCAAGGAGCAGTTTGAGGTGGCCGACAGCACCCTCATTCAGGAATTCAAGAAGCTGATTGCTGACCGTTTCAAGACACCCCCTGAGCAGTTGTCCCTGATCTTTGCTGGTGAGATTCTCAATGACCAGGATACACTAGTGCAGCACAAGATTGATGATGGGTCCAAAGTCCATCTCTTCATCAAGTCTCAGAGGAAGCCCTTAGGGAATCCAGGGCCCCCCACGGGCAATCCAGCCACACCCATCACCTTCCTGCAAATGCCAGCAACTCGAGAAATCTCCTCGGAACACAGTCTAGACCTTTCGGATTGGAGCAGCCAACCCGAAGACCTGATGGCCTCCTGCCACGAAGTTGTTGCCCAGACCATGGAAAACCTTTTGCTCCAGATGGTCACTCTGAACCTGGATGCCTCTGCATTGAACAACAATCCCCTTCTCTTGGGCTTCCTCCTTGGTGTCACTGGCATGAATGTTCTGGGTTTGAATGCCCCAGATATTTCTGACTTTGTTGGCGAAGCCCAGGAGCAGGATGTGACCCGGCAGGAGCTTATCAGTGAAGTGATGCAGCACCCCTTTGTGCAGAACCTTTTCGGGGATACTGAACAGGTCAGGCAGATGATTATGTCAGTGCCTCAGATGCAGCAGCTGGCTGAACAGAATCCAGAGATCAACCACATTCTCAACAACTCTGAATTCCTGCGAGAAATGATCGATGTGGCCACTAGCCCAGCCGTGATGGATGAGATCATCAGGAACCATGACCGAGCCCTGAGCAACCTGGAGAGTACTCCAGGGGGGTACAATGCTTTGCAACAGCTGTACCATGACATTGAGGCTCCAATGCTGAACGCGGTGCAGGCGCAGTTCCAGGGCAATTCGTTTGCTCTCTCAGACACCAAACCTTCCACGGGGGGGATCAAACCCCTGTCCCAGACAGAAAACAGGGAACCTCTGCCAAACCCTTGGGCACCCCAGTTGAACAGCAGCGGTGGTGACAATGTATGTAATGGTGACATCAGCAGTGCCAGTAATGGTGCTGAGCAAGGTTACATCCTGCTTGCATTAGGTCCTGGAATCCGGCCAGGACTTAGCAAGTCTGAAAGCATTCAGAACATGGTTCATCAGCTCACAGACAACCTGGAATTCATGCAGAACATCTCCAATGCACTTGCTAAACCTGAGGGCCCCACTCAGATGTTCCTCAGCCATTGCAACTCCCCCATGAGAAATGAAGCTCCTCCACCTCAAGGGTGGGCCCAGCAGCTCCCTTCCAAACTAGCCAGGTCAGAGTCTGCCGTGCTGCTGACCAACCCCCGAGCAGTCCAGGCTCTTCTGCAGATGCAGATGAGCCTGCTGACGCTCACCAGAGAAGCCCCAGATTTCCTGCAAGCCTTGACAGACCCAGATGTTGAACTAGAAAGCATGGAAGACTCCGATGAGGGAGAAAGCCCATCTTCTGAAGCAGAAAGCCTCATCTCAGTTGAAGAAAGCCTGGAGCTGGAGAACAGTGCATCCAAAGCAGACGATGAAGAAAAGGAGGAGGAGGAGGAGGAGGAAGAGGAAGAAGAAGAGGAAGACATGGAACAGCAAGCTCCAGAGGCCCTTTACCAGATCCAGTTGGAGCAGCTCAGAGCAATGGGCTTCCCCAACCAGGAACTGAACTTGCAGGCTCTAATGGACACAGAAGGAGATATCAGTTTGGCAATTGAAAAGCTAACAAACTCTCGCGCATCCTAACAACAGATTTACCTTTGCCTCTTGTAGGGTCACCTGACACACTAAAGTCAGCATGGTGGATATAAACTGTGCCGTCCCTTAGTGCTCCTTTCCTCCGGCTGAAACCCTGCGCAGGGAGCAGGGCTCTCCTGGCATGGCCGGGAAAGGCACAGCTGCCCTGCTCCATTCAGCCTCCCAAAGTGGAGCCCGGGGCCACCAGTGTACCAAGAGGCAACTGCCATCTCCTTGCCCCTCCGGGGTCTTAATTTTTGGAAAGCAGCCTTTTAAGGTGGAAACTTGCTTGCTGCAAAGCCAAGGGGCCACCTCCAGCTGCCATGTTTCACTCCCAAGAGCACCTCTGGACCGGCAGGTAGCTGCAGCCCCTGGCTTTGTCCGGAAGCATCTCCAGCCACTGAGACAATGCAGCAGAAAAGCAATAAGGGTGCGGTAGCAAGTGTGGGCCTCTCTCCCTTGGCATCCTGATTAATCCATTGATTTGGTGTGATTTATATTTCGTTTGAGGTTTTACCAGAATGTTGTAGGTGCGGCACGTGTAGGTGTGTTACTTGCGTGAATGTGTGGGGATGTGTTTCTGAGAGCATGGCCTTCTTTGTGATTAATTATTTTTTGTATTTCACGAGGGCAAATGCACGTTTTGACGTGTGGGGCTCAGCTCCAACCTCATCCTTTTATCAGTTTCTTGCCCGAGACATTGTCTCTGAGCATCATCAGTTCCCCTTCAGGGGGAGCAGGAAACTGGTGGTTCCAAAGAATGGCTTTGGGTTTTGGAGCCTAGATCCCCCTCTTAAGGGCCCAGGCAAGCTACCTTTCCTTTGGCCTTACCAGCTGGCCTGCAAGGGAATGGATATTTTGTGCCTGGTTGACTTCCACAACAGCTGTTTTGTGAAATGCAGCCCTACTGTACTCCCCAAATTCCAGACGGGCCCACCAACTCCAAAGTTTGGTGTTTCCTGCTGAATAGCTGTCTGGAGGAAGGAAGCGGCTTTCCCTGCCTGATCCTTCTTCCGTTGTGTCCCCTTTGGGAAGAGTCCACGTCCATGAGCCTTCCCGCTGCCAGCCTTGGCCCTGAACAGTGGCCTGAACGTCATGGCTGCCCTCCGCCCCCAATCTTCTGGCCCTTAGTCGTGCCTTGCCTGCTTCTCCAGGCGGAAAGCAGAGCAACTGCAGGAACAGAGTCCTGCACGCAGAAGTGACAGATTAATTTCCAGAGGGAATGAATTGAAAGTGGATGAAAGGAAAAAGGATGTGGAAGCTGCTTCGAATGTGTGAAAAGAATCAAGCTTCACAGTGCCACAGAAGTGTGCAGAGTTACACTCTAGCAGGATGCATTAGTGATACATCGTGTGTCATAGCGATGAAGTGAAAGAAGCTGTGGATGAGAAAAAAAATGTGCCCAGGGGAATGATTGCTCCAGAAATGAGGATGGAATTGTTGTAGAGTGTTACAGAGAGAAAAAGCTATAGAGAAGAAAAGAGTCAAAGAGCAAGGAGCAGATAAAGATTAAAATAGGCAAGAAAATGCAGAGTGAATTTGATGAAAATAAAAAGTTCTTTTGGAAGGGAGCAAAGAGAGTTAAAAATAAAAGTGATGAAATGAATTGGGAAGAAGCTGAAGTGAGGGAAGGAGGATTTATATGGGAATGATAGTGACACGTCAGATAGCGGAATTGAAGCAAACGCTGCACGTGTAGATAAAAAGGAGGTTATATGTGCCATGAGAAGATTGGAAAATAGTATGCCCACAGGTGTGGACAGCACGCCTGGGGAGATCTTTGAAAATGGATGTGCCTTGCTCATGGATTGTCTCTGTGACTTACTTAACACGTGTGACTAAGTATTCACTTGTTTTATTAGACTCTGGGCAGCTCACACAATAAAATTGTCGAGATAATAACCGATAATACAATATAATAAAAAGGCCACAAAGAAAATCCAAAAGATGGCTGCTGCCGATGGCTGGAAGAATGCCACAACGGCTTCCTTCCACAAAGGGCACGGTGGCAGGCGCCAGGGCAAGGACTGCCAGAGGCTCGTCGGCTTGGCGTGTCAGGGAGGGCGTCTGGCAGGCAAAACCCTCATCCCACGTACAACAGGCAACAGTAGAAGTTGGGAGGCGCAGGGCAGCTGCAAGCCGAGCAGGAGGGTGCAGACCAGGCTCTTCCTCTTCAGCAGGTCACTGACAAGCATGTGCCTGTCAGAAAGTTCGTTATGTCTGTTGATTTAGCGAAGGTGTACAGGTCTGAACTGTGGAATGTTTGTATGACGTTGGAGCTGTAGGTTAGTTGCATAAGAATAATTGAGGGCTTAGCAAATGGTTCAACTCTGAGCAGAGGATAAAGCAAGGCATCCTCTCGGTTGTTCAGTGTATTTGTAAATAAGGAAGACTTCTAGTGCCTGCCTGCCTGCCTGCCTGCCTTCCCACTACTTATTGCAGTGTTGTCCAAACTTGGCCACTTTAAGATGAGTGGACTTCAACTCCCAGAATTCCCCAGCCAGCATGGTCCACTCATCTTAAAGTGGCCAAGTTTGGACAACACTGACTTATAGGCTGCTCCAATTTGCCAGCTCTCACTGGTGTACAACTCCCCAGTATGTGACTGGGGTTAGAATCTTACAATCGTGGAAAAACAGCAGCTAGAAATATTCCCATGGAATTGGGAGTCACAAATAAAACATGAACAATAATAAAGATACCCAATCTCGCAAAAGAGGCAATTACAACAATCCAGTCTTCCCAGCTTGGTGGAACAACCAAGTTTTTACCAGTCTCCTAAAAGCTAGGAGAGAAGGGCCTGACTGCACACTGGGGGCACACACATTAGAAGTGTGCTTGGTGTGGGCTTGAATATATATATATATTAAAAATTCCCCTCTCACCCCTATGGGTGGTCTGTGTCTTCCTCAGTCTCGGGTCCTGGAGTCTGAGGGTCCTGTGCAGGATCTGAGCTCTTCCTGGCACTGCACTCTTCTGGACGGAGAGCTCTGAGGTTGTTCCTGGGGTCTGTTGGAGCCCCTCTCCAACATAACCATCTAGCTTAGGAGTCACAGCCCCGAGTGCTCCTACCACCACTAGGACCACTTTGGCCTTTGCTTTCCGCACCCTCTCGAGTTCCTCCTTCAGGCCCTGGTCCTTCTGC